CGTCATACAAAAGCGGGACAAGGGCCAATCACCAAGCAAAACGGACTGATATGATTGGCGGGCCGATCTCGGCAACACTCGTCCGCGACATCATCTTCCAACTACATACCAATTCCAGAATCCCAAATCCCGGCTCCACAGTCTCAAACAGAAAAAAACACATACGATATCCCACTCCCAAATATCCTCACGCCATGCTGCTTCGTCCCGCGCACAACTGCACCCGTTCGCTGACCACTTGCTCTCGCGCAATCTCGGCCCGACAACCACTCAACGCACCACCACCACCAACCCAAGCTTTCCGAAACCGGCAAAACACGTTTCTTAAATTTTTGACAGGCCAGTCGTCACAGTCATCCATCTCAAGGCGCGGCATCACTACCTCAACCAAGACGACAACGACGCCGCCTCCCCTTCAACAATCACTCGGCTCACAGAAACGGAATTCAACATCCAAAATGGCAGGCGACGACCACTACCTCACACTCCAGTGCCCGGACAAGGCAGGCATCGTGTACGCCGTAACCGGCCTCCTAGCAAAAGAAAACCTCACCATCCTCGACCTCCAGCAATTCTCCGACCCAGACTCCAAAACCTTCTTCATGCGCGTGCACTTTGGCCACGCCGCCGACCTGTCCGCCCTCGAAACCTCGATGCAGCAACTAGGCGCGGAAATGCAAATGGACTACCAAATCCGCCGCGTAGACGCCAAACCACGGGTCCTCATCATGGTGTCCAAAATCGGACACTGTCTAAACGACCTCCTCTTCCGCGTCAAGTCTGGTCTGCTGAAAATCGAGGTCCCAGTCATCGTCTCCAATCATCCGGATTTCGCACAGGTCGCGCGGAACAATGGTATCGAGTTCCATCACCTCCCCGTCACAAAGGACACCAAGACCGAACAGGAATCCCAAATCCTCGACCTCATCGCTCAGCACAACATCGATCTCGTCGTGCTCGCCCGCTACATGCAAGTCCTCTCCCCACGCCTCTGCACCGAAATGTCCGGCAAGATTATCAATATCCATCACTCGTTTCTGCCGTCTTTCAAGGGCGCGAAACCCTACCACCAGGCGTATGAGCGGGGCGTCAAGATTATCGGGGCTACGGCGCATTTTGTCACGGCGGACTTGGACGAGGGCCCGATTATCGAGCAGCGCGTGGCGAGGGTCGATCATGCGCTGAGTCCCAAGGAGTTGGTCGAGGAGGGGAGTAATGTCGAGAGTCAGGTTTTGGCCCATGCGGTCAAGTGGTGGAGTGAGAAGCGGGTGTTTCTGAATGGCGTCAAGACGGTGGTGTTTAACTAGATGGTTGGTGGGAATTAAAAGCGTTGCAGTTGTGAATTCATCATCGGTTTGACAAGTGAGGAAGTTGTTTGTGGCGTTGTATTTTTTCCTCCAAAAGGGGCGAGAGGAGCGCGTGGTATGTTGAGAAGAAGAGTTGAAACAGGGAAAGTCTCCCTTGTAAATACGTCTCCTAACCAAGCGCAGTGCGTTATCATTGGCCTGGATACTAGAGTCCTCTGGGATCCAAAGAATCTCTCAAACAGAGGCTAAAAAATCATGATTGAACGTCAGCCAGAAAGTACGCAGTGTTCCCTTTCCTTTGGATCCCGCCAGCCACCAACACCATACCCATACCCCCCTTCATGCCCCGTCATAAAACCTCGCCGCCTCCTCCTCGGAAACCTCACTTACCAAACTCCTCCTCACATCCACAAGTCCATACCTGCTCCCCCTAATCTTCCACCACATCTCCTTCCTATTGCCCCCCAACCTACCCGCCAGAAGATCCTCCTTCAACCCTCGAATGAACCCATTATACATATCCGGCTCCTCCAGCTCAGTAAGCTCATCGCGCATGACGCGAATCGCTTCGAGCGCGCGCCCATACGCATTATCGCCCACACTACTAGTAACCAATTTGCGAATCTCAGCCGCGATGCCATCGGTAGCTTCTTGGATGGCGGCGAGGTCGTCGGTTGCAGCGAGTGCTTGTTTGAACGAGGGGACGAGGTTGGCCGGGTCTATTTTGACGCGTTTGGGGTTGCCGAGGAGGGCGTCGACGTCGAGGCCTGAAATGGGTTTGTCGCGCTCTGTGCGTTGGCGTTTGCCGCGGCCTTTTACTTTGGGTGGCACTTTTTTCACGTCGGCTGCTTTTTGGAGGACGGTGAGGGTGGATTGATACTGTGCGATTAGGGCGGGGGGTGGTGTTGAGTACTTGAGTAGGATTTCTGGGGGATCGGGGATAGGCTGTGCGGGATCGGGATGGGTTGCTCGCCATCGGATGACGTGGTTGATGCGGTGGACGATGGGGGCATATGTGTCTTCGATCTTTGCATATTCTTCCTCGTTTCCATCTTCGTCGCGGCCGAATGTCGAGAGGTCCATGGCGTCGACGTAGTCGCTCATTGCGTTGACGAGGTCTTCCGTTGGGAGGTCCTTGTGCTCGGTGATTACCTTGCCACTTACAGTCAACTTTCGATCCAGGGGTGGGAATTTATATCGTCGCATGTCTTCTTCGAATGGCAGTTCGACGTCGACAAGGGCCTCCCACTCTAGTTCGATGCGAGGCATCAGTAAGACCATCACTGGCGGCTTCATTTCCTTGGTGACAAGCCTTGCGATGGCATAACACTCGGCCTCATACAAAGCGTGAATGAAGGACGAAAGTGCAAGTTGTGCCTGAGGATTCGCTTTTTGCGGAACAAGAAAGCTCGATCGACTCAATGGGAGATAACGTTCAAACTCCTCTGCCTTTACAAAGCCAACCAATTGCAATGAGGGCTCCGTTTCCATCTTGACGCAGTTCATGTCTGATTCCGAGATATGGACAGCCGTCCGTCCATACTCGTAGCCGCGCTCGAGCTCGTCCAGCTCAACGGTCATCTTGCTGTCTGGCTCTCCTGGTTTATCGATCTGATACAGACGCTGATAACGCACGGCTGACAGGTCAGTCATCGCATGATCTTCTCCCACCATCGTCGCTGGCGATTCTGCGCTAGGCCCCGCTTTGTCGTCTTCAGTGCGGACTGCAAAGGAGCTCGCTGTCGGTGGCTTCGCAAGCATGGTGCAAGGATAGCGTTCTACATCTATAGTGATGGTGGCGTCGTAGTTTGCAGTGTCACCCAGCGTGAGTGGTCCTTTGTAGCTTGGCGTTGGACGTGTCTCCTTTAGGCGGGGCGTATGCATTTGATCAATGGCAACTGCCAATGTACCGAAATTGCCGTCACAGGCTTCCACAAAACTTCTCAGAATCTCCTCGTTCCTGGCCTAGATCATGTCAACACTGCACCATGTACGTGTGCTAATTCTTCAGCGGTTACCTTTTCAGGCTCCTTGTCCTCTTCTTTGAAGCCACTCTCGGCGTCGTCAAAGTCCACACCAAGAACCGTGACCTCGATGGGAGCGGCCTCATCCTTGATCTTCATAGTAATCTGCTCAAGATCATCCGTGTCCCATTCACCACGGCCATCTGTGACCACAATAATCTTCCGATCATACTTCAACGGATTTCCCTTTGCGCCTCTAGTCGTACTGTCAATCATCTGCACAGCCAACGCAAGAGCCGATAGTACTGGCACTGTTAGCCAAGGCTCCAAACACTTCCACCCTTCACTTACAATCCCCATCATCGGTCTGACTAGGCTTGAGCTTTTCCTGCAGATTCCGAATATCGACCAAGAGGTACTGCTTCACGTTTGAAAACACCGTAATATGCTCATACCCCTGCGTGTCCTTTACAATGCCACGCAGATCCGTATCATCAGTACGATAGCCAATGACGCTCATGAGCGCAGTTTTCCTGGCCGTTGCAACCTGAGGTCCTGTCAGCACAAGTCCTACAACAAAATCCTATAGCTCATGCACAGCCACCCCATCCGCAAAGAATAAACACCACGCCCACCAAACTCACCGTGGTAGTGATCTTATCCCACACATACTCCAGCGCCCACTCAAGATCCGACTGCTCGCGCCCTCCCCTCTTCTCTCCCATGGACGCGCCCACATCAACGATATAAACCGTTGCCTCTTTGCCCGCCATTGTCTGCGTCGCTGCGTCGAAAAACGCGTCTACGATACAGTGAAGCCTATCTGCAACTGCAAAAACCGCGGTATAGGTATAAAAAAGCCGAGTTGACTAATGAAGCAAGCAAACACGCAAAGAGCCACCGGCAATAAAGGTAGCTACCGGTACTGGTACCGTAGTCCAGATCCTCCACCTCGAGGAGGAGAAAAAGCACGACACAAAGCAAAACTATATCCGAATTGCAAACCCCCGTCACAGGGAAAAGAAAATATGTGTACAAACGGCACCACGAGAGATAGCAGCCTAAACAGCCTGGTCGGCAGAGTAGAGTCGAGTCGAGTGTTTTTAGGCAGACGCGAACGCGGGTGCATGGCTTGGTAGGTAGGTAGGTTCTCACGACGCGAGATCAGCTGACCGGCCTTAGATCACAATGACTTGTGCAGAGTGAGTAACGTTAGCGTATCAGGCTAGGCTGCTTTAGGGGCAGAGTACTACACAGTGCTGTGCCATACCAACCTACACCTAGGTAGCATGAGGTAGTACACAACGAGAGGGGAAAAAAAGAAAGAGGTACAACACCACTACAAGGAGAATAATTCCACGCATTGGCATTGCGTCTACAGAGTGAAGAAACGAGGTTGGCTGCGTGGTGGTAAGGTGCTTGTGGATCCAGAATACACATGGAGTCCATGGACAAACACGGAGAGACATGGAGAAAGGATCCAAAGTACACGGTCATGCAACGAATCATGCGTCCTTTATTCCCATACACGAGGTCCCCCATACGGTGTGCAGCTTTACGTGAAACACAGTAATCTATACTACACGTATTGGTTGCAGATATGCACTTTACTCTGACATACATTCATCGCCATCTTCACATCGCATCTGCATACATGCATACAATCATCGTAGCAACCAACCTAACGCATGGGATGGGGGAAAAACATCTACGTGCGTTTTTTGTTTCTCTGCATATTTGTGCAGGATGCTGAAGCTGATAACGCCCTGGCAGGCCCCAAAATACCACATCTCTCTTGGTACAAGATTTGGTTTTACATTTTATTGGTGTGTATATGCAAACCATGACCACACCTCTTTTTCCTTTCAGCCACTACCGTTTACTGTCGTGGCGGCAGAATGCACACTACCACACATGGAATTCCCATTCTGCGCAAGCACAATGTCCATGAAGCTCTTCCTCGGCTTCTGCGGCTTCTCCATCCTGCCCTCTGTAACATGGGCCAGATGGATCCGCCTCCTCTTGCTCTCGTGTCTCATGTCCTCCAGTAGCGGTCTCAGTGCGTCCACCTTCTCGGCCTCGGGATACAGCACCGATTCTTCGATCCAGTACAGGCCCTCCATGGCGGAGAACTGCTGTTTGGCTTCTTTGATGCTGTCTTGGATCTTGGCGTAGTCAAAGTCTGGTGTGCCTTCCATGGGGAAACGGAAGTCTTGGGCGAGTAGCGCAACGTCATATTGCCGAAGGAGACAGTCGCGCTGATTGCGTGTTACGGGTATACGAGACCAGTCGCAGTAAGGCGATTCGAGGTGTGCGAGATCGAGTTCAGGAAGACCAAGGATGCCAACGAGTTGGAAGGAACAGATGTAAGTCTTGTCGGGTAGGGCTCGAGGGTCATGTAGATCCTGCGAAGTTGCGTAGAAAAGTGGAAGAAAGACTGCAGAGACACCGAGTTCTTCGCCGGAGAAGTGGAGGGGTCTGTCGTTGCCCAGTTCGCAGGCTCGCCGCAATGCTTTGGGAAGTTTCGAGACGCGATCTCTACGGGCAGCGAGATCTCGTTGTCGCTGGAATTCTTCCTCGGCTTGGCGTCTGGCTTCCTCGGCTTCGCGCTTGCGTTTAGCTTCTGCTTCTTCTGCTTGCCTTTGCGCTTCGGCCGCTGCTTCAGCCCTCTTCCTTGCGGCCTCTTCCTCTGCAGCCTTGCGAGCTGCTTCCTCCTCTTCTTGCCTGCGAGCTTCGGCTTCAGCGGCTACTTCAGCAGCCTTGCGCTTCGCTTCAGCTTGCAGACGCTGGTCTTCCTGTCTCCGCGCGCGTTCAGCCTCAGGTGTCGCAGTCCTGTCCGACGGCGCGGGAGTAGATTTGGCAGAAGCAGTGGGTGTCTTCTTGACGCTGGCATTGTCCGTAGAAACATCTGAAAAGCGTCGCTTCCGAACTTTGTCCTCCATCGTTTTGTACTTGATTTTCGTCTTGACGGGTTTTCGCTCGTCGGGAGAATCCAAGTCAGGCGTAGGTTTCGCGCTGTGAGTTTTTATGGGCTTTGCGTGGATTTTAGCTGCTTGCTTCGTACCATGGTCCTCATCACTATCGTCAGAACGAACATGGTCCAAGCGTTTGGTCTCGTTGTCATCAGAACGAACTTTCAGCGCCTTCCTGACAGGTTTCGCTTCTTCCCCTTCGCTGTGGGACCGCGGGTTCACTTTTCGAGTCGGTGGCCGTACGTCTTCTTCGCTTTCCTCTTCTGATGAATCGTCATCCACTACGCGCTTCTTCCTTTGACCCTCGCGACTGGCCTTCTCTTTTCCAGACATCAGCCTCCGCGCCTTTTGCGGTTGGCCCGGTGCACTTGCAGATTTTGTAGAATGGGCGCGTTTCGACTCGGGTCGAGGCGAAGACGATCGGTCCCTTCGAGGTGAGGATTTCCTCTTTGTGCGCCCAGTCGACGGGTTTGGAGCTTCCTTCTTGGTTCTGCGAGGGCTCCTGTGCAAAGCTTTGTATTCGTCGTAGGCGCGCTTTAGAATATCCCGTTCGTGCTCCCATTTTGGACCTGTTCGTTCTTCCGAGATTTCATAGTACGTCTTGTTTTCCTTGTTTCGCCGCGTGGGATCAAAGTTGTCCTGTTCGAGAAGTAACTTGATGATTTCAATGTGTCCGCGACCAATGGCTGCCGTCATGGGCGTTTCTGGGTGCTTTGACGGATCAGGATCTGCTTTCAAGCCGCTGGCCAGAAGAATGCTAAGAATATCATAGTGTCCACCTCTTGCTGCAGCAACGCCACAAGCAATATTTGGCTTGATGTTGCTATTGATGAGCTCTCCCACTGCCAGAATATCACCATCGCCCGCTTTTTCGATCAAAGTCTCGACATTGAACTCGTTGTAAAGCAGTCGAGAGGCGGTCTTGGATTGCTTCTGCGAACGCTCGTCGTCCTTGTTGCTGGATGTATCCACCTGTTTCTTCATCGCTTCGCGCAGGACCCTTTCAATCTCTTCGGCATCTTCATCTTCATGATCTAGCACATCAATCGCGCGCTGGCCCTTTTTGTTCTGGTGATGCGGGTTGACGTGACCGTAGTTGAGAAGCAGCTTGACCACTTCCAGATGCCCATTCTCCACGGCATCTATCAGTGGTGTGTCACGGTCATGGCTCTCACAGTCGGTACGGCATCCTTTGCTGATCAGAAACTCGACTACCTCGGCCCATCCATGTAGGGAAGCTTTCTGCAATGGAGCAATGCCAGCGTAGTCGACCTGATTCAGCTCATCAGCAGCTTCTTCATACGCTTCCTTGACCGCCGCCAAATCGCCCTTTTCGCTTTCTCGAGCCAGTCGGGTTGCGCCAAATCGGTCGGTTTTCCTGTGGATCATAGTACGGGCAGGGGATGTGACCGCACGATGCGAAGAGCGTTTCACACGAGCCTGTTGGAGAAGGTGGGGCGCAACAGCGGCCTGGGGTGACATGGAGTGTTCTGAACTAGAACCAGACCAGCGCTCGGGTTCGGCGGTTGACACTGCAAGATGGGTCGCGTCGCGTCGCTTGCGACTCGCAAAGCCAGTGGCTGTCGACTGTGTCGACTGCGATCGCTTGTGGGCACGGCCAAACCCAGGTGTTGCTGGCGAATTAGGCAGTCGCGGATCTTTCAAAGCCTCTGTCTTGGCCTTTTGCCGTGGAGGCTCAATCGACTTGGGAAAGGACTCGTCGCGCAGCTTGCGTTTACGGTTTTCGACGGTGGATGCACTGCGGCCGCGCGTGGTGGTCTGTGGAGGAGAGTGGGCAGCCTGGACAGGAGACTTGGTCGGCTCGATGAGGCTTGCGTCTTTGGTGTTTTGGGATGCATTCGGGACGAGGCTCTTTGCAGTGCGGTCGGTGTTGAGCTTGTCGCCGTTTGTCTTTGCATCGGCACCGTTGCTGGAGCCGCCCTGGTGGTTGTGCGGCGGTGAGTGCGGCTGTGACTCTTCTTTGATGGAGCGGAGGCGTGATGCGTCGTCGTCGTCGTCGTCATCGATGCGCTCCGTCTTGATCACCTTTTTCTCTGGCGATGGTTCGTCTCGCGACAGCACCACCGTCTCGGCCTCGGACTCGCCCTCTGCGTCTTCATCGTTGCCCTCGGCGCCATTCGGCTGAGGCGGTTGGGTGGTTTCGGCTGGTGCAGGCGGCGACGTGGCTGCTTTGCTTGCAGGAGGAGCTATCTCGCGCGGCGCGTGTGGGCTGTGTGGGCAGGTGTCTGGAGCTGTCCTTGCCGTAGTAGCAGCGGTGGGAGCAGTGGGAGCGGTGGTGGTAGTGGTGGCAGCGGTTGCAGCGGTGGCGGTGGCGGGCTCGTCTTTGGTAGGTGAAGAGGCATTCAAGACCGGATCTCCATTACTGATCATATTCGACGCATACAAGGGACAGGACACGGGAGTTCCTGCCTCATGCTGGCTTGCAGAGCAAGGGACGACGACAGTGGGAACGCAGGCGGCAAGAACAAGGCGCTTGCTTAGGAGCCTGGAGCCCTGCCGGGATTGGCCGTCCGCTTAGGGGGGTGGGGAGGTAGGGAGGGAGGAAAAGAGGGGGCGGGCGTTGCTGCTCTCTGTCGTGCGTGTGTGGCGGTCGC